GAGAAAGAGGAACGACAGACGAGTTCTCTGGAGACGAGCGGATATATTTAGAGGCACTAGACTGACCTGACATTGACCACAAACAGAACAGCCAGAAGAGAAGAACAGAACAGCCTCATTCAAGGACAAACTCTTCATCAAACCACAGCACTGACACGCAGCTGCAGGAGAATCACACTAAAGCTCACTAGAAAGATTATGCTGTTAAACTGTGTCATTTAGGAATCAGAGTTCTGCATTAGGGGTCGACCGATTATCGGCGCCGATATTAAGCATTTTTATGATTATCGGTATCGGTCATTTTCAAAACCGATTCGCTGATAAAATAACTTAATTTTGAAACGCGCTATTTGGCTCTGATGCAGCCTGTCAGAACTCACCACTCTGTGGCCTAAAGCAGTCTCTGCCCACCGCTCATCTGATTTGTTGGGAGTCATGAGTCCGACCAATCAATGCGGAATTCACTCTCACTCCGAAAGCGCTTGCTAACTGCAGCTGCTTCAGTGATCATGCGTCAGTTGTCTCTCAAAGGTAAGGCAGCAGCAGACGTTGCTTAATTTGCAATAAATCACAATCCACTAACGTTACACTGAAGTTGCAAAACACCTCAATATTATCTATGATTTCCGCGATGCAGAAAACGCAGACGGAATCCAGTCATATAAATGGGATTTACTGTATGACGCGGAATGTCACGGAATTTGTCAAAGTTTGGATGAATTAATCAAAAGTAGGTCAGTACACTTAAATAGAGTCGCGATATGGACTAGTATCTGTAAATATTAAGCCGCAAAAATACTATTTAAATATGAATCCAGCATGTTCTGCGTGTCTCTGTGTATGTAAATGGCACAGACGCGGGGTTTTGTTTTCTACACATACAAAGTGTGCGACGCTCGCGGTGATTTCAGCTTCTGTCGTCTCACTACATGAGGACATAAATACATGAACAACATCTCCAGCACTGCTCTGACTCCCTCTCCCATGAGTCACTTCATGATCATTTGAAGGTTTCATTTGAGTAGGTGTTTCCCACAGACTCGTGGAGGCATATATATGCAAACTCATTCTCTGGCAGCAGGAGGCGCTGTTGGAGTGGTAGAGATCAGGGTTTCCCCGGTAACGCTGTACACAAAGCAGCGCTCCGCTCACAAACGCTGCTTTATCAGATATTACATGCAAGAAGAAATGAAAATGACTAGGCCTGTCACGATAACAACTTTTTGTTGTGCGTTATATTGCCCCAGAAATAATTGCGATAAGCGATATTATTGTCATTTTAAAGACCATTTTATGCCACTGAATATATAATCATAATAATGCAAGAAGGCCTACACACTTCCAAATGACAACAAACTTTTAATTTTAAGAATATTTAGATCATGGAAATTAAG